TGGACTTCTAAGTAAGGTGATCTTAACATTCATATGAAGTTGATTGAATAAGCTAGCTAAAGACTTCAAATCCACCATCATTTGACATCATAAGGGAAATTTAGACACCTAGGATGATAAACAAGTTTTTTTTTCCAAATTCTCAAACAATTAAGTGATACAAATCCAATTTTGAATGCAACCAACCTAACATGCTAGAGGCATTAGCTCAAATATACCAATGACTTAATAAGCAAAATACCCTAAGTTGTCAATATTATACTCAACTTATACAAAGGAAAAGGTAAATACATTACAAGTTGTCTTTAGCTTTATCATCTTCTCTGTCGGCCTCACCTGCGATGGTTCCCTAAAAGAATTCAATATATAGCAAAGAATAAAATATGATATCTTAGTAACAAGGATACATGGGTTCAAACACATACATGAGTAACAAGTATAGCATACAATATCACATGCTTTCAATTCTCATATCATTAATTACTAAAACATGTATGTGAGCAATATGTAATGAGTATGATCATGTATCCCATTTTATTACTCTTCTTATACCTCTTGATAGAATTCATGAGTTATTATAGATATAGGGTTAACCTGTGTGACAAATTAACCATGCTCTCTAGTTATAAGGATTTACCCGGCCAAAGTTTCCACACTCACTCTAGGATCATAGATTCTCCCTTCTCTAAATCTAAAGGATGTCTCTAATTACTCAACCTATACCATCCCCATAAGACCTGGTGACGCTAAGTATCGTGCTTAGCCCATGTTCCTGAAGGATATTAACAATACTAAACACTTTTAGTAAATCACATGCCAACCACTATGTGCAACTCTTAGTGGGGCCACATCACGTGGAATTTTATCATATCGCCCTATACTCTCTCTTGAGTGAACTCCCTCCCCATCAATGATCATGTAAAAGAAGTAATGCTCTCATGACATTCTCATGTATGTGTACACTTGTGTATGCTTAACATAGCATAATACACTTGTCTATTCTCAAAATTCACCTCATCATGCTCCATAAAAATTCAATCCAAGCATTCATGACATGCCAATATACATAATCATGTTCAAGACAACAAAATCATCACATCAAGTTCAATGCATTAGAAAGAGGGCATTACCCCTATGATTCATGCAAGCAACTTTATTCTCGACTTACCATATTCTTCCAAAGTGTGCACATATATTTATGCATTGACATACTTGTTTAACTCCTCATGCCATATTATCAACAAATAGCTCTTGTAGACCTTAGTCTCATCATCAAGTGCCACAACTCAAACCTTTAACTTTCTGCATAGCTATTCATTAATTTCATTCATTATCATGCCACACTTAAACCCATTTTAAATTTATGAACAACACACATATATGAAAAATTCATTCTCGATTACCTCAACCTTTGGCTTACAAAACAAAGTATATACTTTAACAACCAAAGGAGTCTTCGACAAATGCAAGCAATCCAACAAACTAGTAAGCTATAACCAAGCACATAAATTGCCATTAAAGACTAATTATGACCAACCATGGTCAATTTTTTAATCAAGATTTAATCCCAAAACCTCCATTAGGGCCATAGTCAATATCCCCTAGCTTATAAGTTCTAATGACTTATTTAAGCCCCTGTTAGGTAAGAGCATTAAACTCGCAAATCACCATTTATTACTCTAATGCATCCTCTGGTTTGCCACAAATCCAACTTTAGACATGCCATAGTATGATAAGTAGCTTAATCAAGCTATAAAGCATTTAACAAGCTTCCATTAGCCTCATTAATAATAGAAGCACAGTAAGGCATTTACCATTTTGAATCCTTGCTCCATCAAAACCCAAAAGACTAAAGAGAAAACCTAAGAGAGGTAAGGAAGAGAGTATTGGAACTTACCCATAAGTTGTCTAGCTCTCAAGAACCTCTAAGGGCTAAAAACCACCAACCTTAGCAGAGAACAATTCTTGGTTTTCGCTTCTCTTGCTCTACTCCTCTCACACACATTGTTACATTGTAACATTTTTAAAAGAAATATGACCCTATATGTTACGGACTGGGGGCGAAGCCCATGTTTTATCCATTCAAGCAGGGCCAACTAGCCTAATGATCACTCATATCTTGATTCTAGATTCAATTAGGGCCTTGTAGGCCCAAAAGCCTTTTCCACCACAATTTGTCTAGGCTAAAATACAATTTATCACTTTACTCTTATTTTAATCTCAATTAAATTTTTTGAAATGTTGCAACCCCTACCCAATGTGCAATTTGAGCTAACCTAATGACTGAGTGTTTGGGCTATGTTTGTCCTGAAAAAGATTTTACAAATATTATTTAAAAAAATGTATAAAAAATTTTCCTTAAAAATAATTATTATAATTAAAAATATATTCTTTGCAAAACTAATATTAGAATCAAAATTAAAATTTTTAAAAATATACATGATCAATAATTGTCAATTATTTTACATGATATTAAGTTAAAAAAGATAAATTTTGAAAGAGATTAAAAAAATTTAATCATAAGAAATGTCCAAAAAAATCATCACAATAATATAGTTTAGGGTAACTCTTAACAAAAAATAATAATATAAAATAAATATTATTCACAAAAAATATTAAAAAAATGACGTATGTTCAACTTGGGCCAGGCAACATTTGACACCTAGCTGATGCCTAGCCCAATGGGCCTAAATGGCTCAACCAAGACCAGGCTTTCAAGCAATGTGAACAGTCTTACCAAATATCATCCAATGAAAAACAATACTACATATAAATCAACAAGTATTGATCGTAATGGATGGAGTTATGTAATGTCCATTTAAGTATAAGGTCTCGAGTTTAAGCATATAAATTAAAAAAAAAAACCCTTTTAAGAGAATTACATCAATTGAGCTCAATTGAATCTGATTAGTTAAATAGTCATGAAAAAATAGTGCTACTTGTATCTTTATTATTGGATAAAGGAGTCCTGAGATTTCTTAAGAAACTTCAATCCTTGGGAATCAAGTTTTACGAGCTTCTTAGATGTTGACTGCTCATTTTTAACTCTTGTTGGGTTTGCCCATGGTATTAGGCATCCCATTCTTCTGAAAATTGGTTTCCAGAGCATTGGATTATAAGTGTTTCGGACACATTTGGGGCGCATGACGCTTTATAGAAGGGTTTCAAACATTTTTTAGCGTCGGACATTTTATGATGACGATATTTTCGCCAAGTGTCTTGAGGATTATGTCAAAATAGGGTGTCTACATGTCTGCTTTAATTTTTATCTTTTAGGTGAAAATAAAACCGAGACAAACTAATCAAATTTGGCAAAATTCTGCACCTCTTAAATTAAAAATGTAGTTAGTCTGAGCTGATTTTGAAATATACAGTTAAGATGAGTTTTGAATGATTCCAAATAAATCTTTTTTGTTTGACAAAAAGATATTGTAAATTGTAATGCTATATTAAATTCAAATTCATGTTCACTTTTTATAATAAAAAATTTTCATTCCTAAAATTAAACACATACCCCCTCAATCCTTTTTATATATATATATATATATATATATAAGATGTTTTATAAAGCTTTAACATAGTCCACAATATAAAGAGTAGTGTAATTTTGTAATCTAGAATCATTTTGTCCCTTAGTCCCTTGAAAATTATAGGCATGGACTAAATATTAGAAAGATAAAGAGAAGGGATTTGACTCGGTTCATATTGAAACAAATCAAAAGCCGAACCAAATCAGTTAATTTTGACGTCATGAAAGTGCAACAAATTGTTTTTGGTACATTTTGAATGACTTTTTTGTTTTTATTTAGTTCAGTTCAGTTGGCTTTGTTTGATCTTGAAAACCCTTAATTTAAGATGACAAGTGGGACGAAGATTCTATCCCTGAAAGAAAAAGGCAAATGGCATTTAAGAGTCTCATGATAACCAACCGATGACAAGTCCTTAACAAAAGTTTTTTTAAAAAATAAAATATATTTTAACTTATATAAAATTTTATTTTAATATCTCTATTTAATAAAATATTTTTCTTCAATTAGTTAACGTTGACGCCATTAATTTGATAACAAAAAGTTCCTATATTAAACTTTTAAATAAAAAATTTACATATAAGTCTCATAAATTACACTTATTTAAAAATAAGTTCTACAAAATTCAAAAATCATAACTAAGTTCCTTAAAATCTAAATATAATTTGAAATTGAAATAAAAAACAATAATATTCCTATAAAACATATATACATTATATCAATCAACTAATTTACAATTACTTCATCATTAATTTATAACTATAACTTCAATTTTTTACAATTGCAACTTCACATATCTAATATTAAACTAATTAATTTAACTATTAAATATATAAAATTATAATTATAAAAATTTAAAATTATAATTGTAAATTATTAATAAAAGAGTTGTGAACATTAATATTAAACTATTGAATAAGTAAACTTATAATTGTAAAAAATTAAAATTATAGCTGTAAATTACTAATAAAATAATTATAAATTATTTAATTAATATAATTTATGTTTAATAAGATTGTTATTATTTTTACAACCTAATATCAAATTACATTCAAATTTCAAAGGACATGATTGTAGTTTTTAAATTTCACAAAATTTATTAATAAATAAATTTGCTCCACAAGACATATATGTAATTTTTCTTTTTAAATATCAACAAAATATAATTAAATATTAGTATATCAAGTTTTTTTAATAACAATGATTGGTATAAAAAAAACACTTAAAACTAACAATGTTAATGTTAGAGAATTAAAAAAATACTTTATAAAATTAAAAAAAACAAATTATAATCTTATAAAAAATTAAAAGATCAAAAATATACTTTTTTTTAAATATAATTCTATGTTTGCATCTGAAATTTCTGTTCGCACTTTTCTCAATAGATATTTACAACTTAATTTTTTTTTAAAAATTTTTGAAAATTTAATTATTATCAATTTAATCTTTTAGAATTTTACAATCATTCCCTCGTAAGAAAAAGGGTTGGATTGGCCTTATTCTTTTTGGGCCCTAGCCCAGACTCCTAAACTTTATGGTATAAAACTCAGTTTAACAAATTGCACCATGACGTATCGAAAAGAGAAAAAAACAGTGCATCAGGAAGGCCCAAAAGTCACTACCGACTTCGCCATACAAGTAAATTAGTGCGTTCTTCACCTTCTGCAACAGAGGCACTACAAACCTAGCCTCAATCTCCCCTGAAGAAAAACTAGAGTCAATTCAATCTTGAGGTGATGATAATATATATTAGAATATTAGCTAGTGAACAACATTCTTACCAACGGCGAGCTTTATTAAGATCTCATAATATTTTAACTCTGATATGAATCTGAAGAACACAGCTTTCACGGCAAAATCTGGAAGCATGAAAAAAACGAGGAAAAAACACATGCCAATTCTGACATCAATAAAAATGACAGTCCGAGAGATGGGATTGAGTTTCCCCCCGAGAACATAAGTTGATTATCACAAATGTTGTCAATGTGCTTATTGGTGCCATGATTTGAAAATTTGGATTATACTAAATGTTGTCAATTCTATAGAATTGCTCCTGATTCTATAACTTTAAATAAAGAATTCAAATCAGCCTATTTTTGGAATCAGGATTTTTAGGAATTGTAATTCATATTTACCAAACATCACTTTATTCAAATTCTTATTCCAATTCCATTTCCATCTTCACAATTTCAACCAACCAAACATGGCCTAAGTGCACTGACTTTGATGTTCATGATGGAGCATTAATTCTTCTCTGATCGTCATGTGCGTGTATTTGTGTCCGACCTACCAGGGCCAAGTGAGCAAATACTCGCCTAGCACTTTTCAGCAAGGGCAAAGATCTTGTTCTTTCACTTGTACTAATGAACTCTAGGTACATCATTATCTTGACCATCGTATTTTGGATGTAAAATGCCAGTGTTTGATACTTAAATCTAGATCTCTGTAAAAAATACAGCATGGATGAATTTTATGACAATTTTCTCCTGTGATGCTGAACACGGACAAGTCATATACCATAATGTTGCGTTCGAACAAAGGAAGAGTTAGATTTGAGTCAAATTTATCATTTAAATTCATAAAAATTTAGGAATTTAAATTTGATCCAAATTAATATTTTATTATAATTCTTTAGTAATTTCAAATCCCTCATACACCCTAATTATCTGAAATGTTAACTACTCTAACCCTCTCATTTTTTTCCATTTTCATTTCTCATCTCCCATTTTTCATTGTCTTTGAATTTAAAATTTTTTATACATCCCAGGCAGAGAATTTTAAATACGTAAATTTTAAATCTAAAATTCAAATCCACTAATTCAAACAGTACTTAATATTTTATACCATGGCATTCAAGATACTCTGAAATGTGAGATAAATGTATTCAGACGCTTACTATGTGGTTGGCAAACGAGACATACTTCCATACAGACCTTCAGAAATGACAGGATCAACATACAGAAGTCAAAGTATTTACCTGATTCAGCATCCGACTCTTTATAGATACCGTACATCCCATATTTGGCATAAGCTAGCCACCTGATCCATCGCGAGGCGCCTAACTTTCTGACAATAGACCTTAAAAGCCCGCTGGAAAAAGAAAGAAAGAAGAAATTAAGCACATCAGTTAAAAATTTATCAGCATCAAATGAGGGAATTGTTTCTTTCTTACTCTACACGCATAATAGAGAGAAACTCAGGTGGCAGAGACTCCATGAATGGAGATAAGTCCTCAAATAAAAGAGACTTCAGCTCCTTTTTCATACTTTCTTTCTCCTCAATTGACATTCCGCTGGCAAGACCAGATTTACTGCAGCTCATATGATGAAGTTTGATCACTTTTTTTGCCCCACAACAGAGAATTCTATTGGAAAGATACTACATAAAAGGAGAGGATGAGAAATCCTCTCACAACAAAGGCATAACAATCAAGACACTAGGAATAAACAAGCTCATTGACACTTTTTCCTCTCTCAGCATATCCGTCAAGTAGACTTCATGAAGTAGAGCATATGACGAGCAACAAAAAGAGACCCAAAACGACTTTGGCTTTACTACAGGAAAGATCATCTACTAATTTGCCTATGTCTATCTATCTCCATATAAATAGGAAAGTGAAATTTTAGTTTCAAATATAAACCTAAGTACTAGGCTTTTTAATTTGATCTGCAAATAATGTGTAGAGGTTGATCTAAAGAGAAACCAGACTAGCCAAGAACACTCTCATCCATTGACAAATATGTAGATAGAGCTTGCTCCTTCAAAGTGCAGCCATTCATTCTGCTCCAACCAAAAGGCCCATAGATAGCACATTGCCATGTTTTTATTTTTCACTCTGATTTGTATTCCTTCTTCCTTTCTTCCTTGGTGGTATTTTGGCGGACAGCTATCGTACCTAAGGCTTCTAATGAACGATTAACACATCATAGCATTGTCAACATATATTACCATAATGGGCTCCAATGTGAGGTTCTTCCACAGCCGTATGATTCAAAGTACAGAATATTAAGCTGTCAATTTTACGTATATTAATTTGGAGGTCATTTCAAAATCTAACAAAGGAAGTAATTCAAAAATAAATTGAATGGCATAAAGAGAGAAATTGCAATATCTCAACAGTCACTGAACATGGTATAAAATGCTCAAATTTTTTTTTTAATGTTTTATAGCACATATTCTAATGTCTACCAGGTAAAATTTTTATATATTTAGACGGAACTGGGTTGGAGAACTTAATTCAGGAATAAGCGATAAAGATCATCAATGCATATCACTCAAAGATACTAAGCACAGAGACCTTATGTTAAGGACGTAACAGCCACGCAATCAACATTCAGACCGATGAATACTAGTTTCAGTGGCAAGAGATTTACAAGTATAATCCACTACTAAAAGCAAACGACAGTGAAGGATCACTATCGTTAAAATGAATTGACTAAAATTATCTAAATGCAACAACAAAGAGGAGAACAATGAAGACCTTTCAATGTTTCTTCCGGTGAAAATGATAGGCAGGTATTTAGAATACTTCCCGATGCCAAATCTCTCACCAAGACACATTATTTTCTTCGAGTCTTGCAGAAGCAAAGCCTCCCATAAATGACAAAAGTCCTTCCTAAATTCTTCATTCAATTCCCAGTAGATTCCATGGTCGAGAAGAACTGCATAATAGTTCCCAGGTAAGGAATAACCTCACAGTTCAACTCTAAAAATCTACAAAGTTTTTAAATCTAGCTCCAGAAAAATTGATATTAAATCTACAACAAGAACGTACCCAAAGAGAAGCCATTACAACTATCAGGGGAAACTAGGATATTTCCAGGGTGTGGATCACCATGTATGTAACCATGCACAAATATCATTTCAGCGAAAAGTTTTACCAATGCACTTGCAACCTACAATAACACTTTTAACATGATTCAACTAAAAAAGAAATATTACTTACAGTACTACAGAAGGTACAAACTAAACAAATCTTCAGAGTTTAGAAGGAAACAAGCAGTGGTCATCAACATCAAATAATTGCCAATGTTACACCACAATCAAGGACAGATATCCACCATAAAGAAAATGAAACCACAATTTATTAAGTTCACTATTATTCTTTTTCAAATAAACCTTCTCAGGATCAGCCCCAATCTGCTTCAGAAAGTCTAGATCATCAATCTGCCAAAAAAAAAAAATCATTAGCATAATGCCATATTCAGAATATGAACCATATCAAAATAAACATGGAATCACTGAAATAACAAGTGAAAGTAAAATCCCCACCATAGATGTCACTGTTAAAATTTCCATATTTCTTTTCTAGTTTGTCCTTTTTTTCATTTTCATTAAAAAAAAAAAGAGGAGAAAACACCTTTCTTATGAAGATGTAACCCGATTTGTCTCAAATCAAAGGGATGAGAGAACGCTATTTAGTTTCTACTACTTGAAGAGCCAACTGCAGAAAAGTTGCGCTCAAGCATGTTGGACCATTTAATTAAGACCATTCAAGTAGCTTCTTGGGTCATCAGAAACAGCTGTTCTCACACGAAATATGACATTGCAAACAGAATATATATCAGCAGAATATGAACCCAAAATTTGGACAGATCCCATATAGCGTTTTGCTTGCTTATATTGGAGACAGAAGATTAGTATTAAGACCTTGAATTTTTTGAGAGAATTATCAAGCTTCTGATAAAAATAATGACAAAGGAAAGGACAGGTAATGAATTGAAATAACAGTACCAAAGGGAGATAAATTTGTCCTCATTGTTTCATGCTTATCAAATTATGACGGGATCTAGGAATAGCTGAGCAGTTGAAGAAATAACATAAAAACTATCTAAAAAACCTGAATCCAACAAAAGTTTAGTCCTTCAATAATCAATCATGTAGGAACATGCAAGACAGATCATACCTTCTGTCCTGTACAAAACTGCATGGTCAGTACTTGTCTGGTAGTCAACTCCTGAATGCATATAAATATAATGGTAACCTTGTAAGTTGTACTATAACTACATGATAGAAAGTTAATAGCAATAGCAAAGAACATAATCATCATACCCAGAATACATGTGGAACCCTGATGAATTTGTTGTTTCTGAAGTTTCTAGCAGCTCTCTCAGAATTTCTTGCCTCCTGAACAAAATCTACAGGAAAGTGATCAGGGAACATATCTCAGTCCTAAGTAATCAAAACAAACTCGTAGACAATTAAACCAAAGCTCAATACACAAAAATAAGATTCAACAGTATCCATTATCAATTGCAACCTAAGTTTTATTTAAAATAATAATGATGGAAAATACAATTATGAGTCCCTATACTTTTAACATGTTTACGTATTGGTCTCTATACTTTTATTTTGTTGCTCCAAGCCCCTTAAGTTTCATATATCTGTAATGTTAGTTCTCATCATCACTTGCAGAGTTAAATCTACTGATGTGTACATAAATCTATTACTTTTGTAGGCGAGTTGATAAAATTATAATGAGTTGGACATTGTAAGAGCAAAATGACTACTACTCTTTCTGCTTGTCTACCCTAACTATGTGTTTTCTTGCTTCTAAAACTACATCCATTGCACGTTTAAGGATTCTAATTTAATGTCCTGTTTTTTTTTTTTTTTGGGTCTTACTACTCATTTTTTATACAACTCATCATAATTTTAACAAGTACAAGAAAATATAGGGACTAGCATTGTAGCCAGATGAAACTTAAGGGACTTGAAATAACAAAATAAAAGGATAAGGACTAATGCTAAAACATGCTAAAAGTATAGGGACCAAAAGGTATATTTCCCCTAATAATAATAATAATAATATATTATAATATATATATTATTATTATTATTTAATTGATGCAACAAGAACTACTAGGCAGAAATTTATCCAGCTTACAGTGCAAGACATTGAAAATAATGCTTTCCATAGTATATATTTGAACATTCATTCGGTTCATTGCATTTGGAACAATAGTCTAGCCAGTTTGGTGTCATTGTTCTACAATTCTGCATAACAAACGACGCTCTCACTCAAAAGAAATAAAAATTTTCCCTTATTCATAGCCATAGTTTTTAACAAAGATAGAGTACCCCATGGTTATAACAAATTCTTCCTTTTCTGAGATAGAGAAACAATTCAACAAGACAGGAATGATAAAATTGAGGACAGGTAATACCCTAGGAAAAATAAATAAAAATAAAATAAAATGACCACAAGACCACAAGAGACCCCTCATATTAAATGAAATCAAATAAACAATCCACCAGTTGATATGCTCCAGAAGGGCATATCACAAGTATCCCCTAAATCATTAATCATAAAGTCATTATATTATCCAAAGCAGGTTGATGGTATTTCCACACCTGTAATTATGAACTGCCAAACTACCTGTTCTGTCCTACTTCGAAATGACAATTTACAAGATATCACGACATTAACCTAATATGTACAACTTGACAACTAAAGATAACATACAAATAGTAAAGGAATACTCAGGTAATAAACTAGACATTCTGACTTACCCAGTTCTAATGCTATGGCCTTCGTAAACCCCAATGTCAACCATTCAAATCTGTATTCAGGAAAAAACTGTGGCCAAAAGGAACAGTCTTGAAGTAAAAAAAACAACAATGGCTACAGTACTAGAACAATAAATTATAAATATAGAGAGAGAGAGAGAGGACATGCAGGTTGAACAAGCAATTAGACATTGAACTTGTGAAAATATCAAGGTATTAAAAACCGAATCAGTCATTGAACCGGTTGAGACACTAGGTTAAGGGTCAGTGGTTCAACCGTGGTTGAACCGAGAGTTAAACCGGAATCAGACTGGTCATGATAAAATAATATAATTTAAAAAAATACCTTAATTCTTGATACATTTAGCCATACCCAAGACTTGATATCTTATATAATATAAAATAATAGTGATAATAAAAAAACAAATATCTAATGTAAAATAATAGAGCGAGTAAAGCCGTTAACATATATAAAGTTTCAAATTATAAAAATAAAATAAAATAGCCAGGAGCACCTCTTTCAACAATTGAATTTTAACATTGTTTAGAAAGGTGTGAAGCAGATGTGTAACAGTAAACAATGTCAGCCAAGAAATGACAAGATATGTACCATCATTTATTTTAAATGAAAATTAAAAAAAATCTCTTCCTCTCCCATTCCTAAAACACCAGTCGAAGCCACACCCACTTGAGTTTTCAGGTTTCAGCATTTCACTCTTTCTTCTTCTAACTGTTCGGCATTCTATATTTATGTTTTCAGATCTGGTTCTTGCTATTTTTCTATCCTTGGTTCGTCGACTTGTAGTTGTTAGTCCTTTATATTTGTTCTAGATCTACTCAATATCTTGTTGCTCAGATTTGCTCGTCGTTTATATTTGGAACAGAGCAGCATATCTCCGCTGCTAGCTTCTTCTTCACCGTTACTCTTTTCCAGCATCGTTTTGGAGCCATTGGAAGGAGGAAAAAGTGACCCGTTCAACCCGCCCAACTCATGGGGTTGAACGGGTTGCTCCAGGTTTTTTCCGGGTTAATCCAGGTTGAGTTCCATCCAATCTATGCAGCAAACCGGACCGGACATGTGGCCGATTCTCCGGTCCGGTCCGGTTTTTCAAACCATGGAAAATATTGGCTGCATGACTTCATTTTTTTTGTATTCTCATGTCTAGCTCTTTTTCTCCAATGAATTTTGAAGAATCCAGAGTTGAAAGTCTCTCTAATCTTAGAGTGGAAGAAAATACTTATATAGTTTTTGTATTTTTTAAGGAAAAAAATTGATTCACTTCAATTTGATTTCAATTCCAATTCCAATATCATTTTGGTGGTCAATTTGTATATCTTCCCATCCTTTTTGCTATCAGTACCATTAATTGACTCATGAAAAGTGTGATTCACTTTAAACAGCATAAAATCTTCAATCTTTTATGACAAACAATTGCTATTAACAGACAGAACAGAACATACATGTGCAATAGTTTTGGATAGGAAAGACATGGTTCTTGTGTCAAAATCCATCTGCTGCTCTAAATCAGGATATTGTACCTGTTTCCAATCAAAGATAACAATTTTACAATTACACATCTTTCTCCCATCACAGCCCACATTAATTCAAAGTATAGATGCCAAGAAATATCACACTTAAGAGTTTAAAGAAGCAAAAAAAGACAGACTGCTTTACTTTAATGCATTGAGTAACATAGAGTAATCAGCGTATGGTTTTTAAGCAGAGATTTCTATCATTGCTATTAACTACTAGTAAAAGTAAGAGGTGACTCATTTTTGCCCCAGTACAATATTCTGATCTCTATGGCATATGTATAAATAGATAACTCCCCTATCCTACAGTACTCACTAGTACACTGTAAAGGACAGACAGACCTATTTCAAAAGCCTGGCCCACAAACCTTCTCACAAAAACTTTGAATTGAATTAGGAATTGTACTCAAGGTTTAATGTAATTTTAGCATAACATATTATTCTAGAAAGATGGTCTAAGTTTCATTCATAGTCAAACGAAAGTCACCTAAACACAATATTGGTCACCAATTATTCATCAAAAACAAATTTTGACAATTTCACATGCAAATAAAAGCCAATAATAAGGCAACAAAATATAGGTCACAAAATTCTGCAGCATATATATAAAAATATTCAGAGGAGGAATCAAATGGCATGTTTTCAAACAAAATGAATACCACCAAATTTCGAAGTAAACTGTTAGCACAGACAAATCTTGTAACGATATTCTTAATGCAGCTGTTTATGGACACAAGATGTAAGAATATAAACTCAACAGCCTGGCCATGGACTTGTAAGATTTTAGAACAGTGTTCCTCAATTTGCAGCCATCAAATAGATATTCACAAAATTAACTCATGAGCAAACCTTAATTGCAACTTCATGACCGCTTTTCAACACTGCACGGTGAACTTGAGAAATAGATGCAGCAGCTATTGGTTGTTCACTGACTGACAAAAACCTGAAATTCAAATAAATAGAGGTTGGGGGGAAGCTTGTTGGATTAACTATTGGGAAAAGAGAATAAGTAAACATAGATTTGTTTAAGGGTGTATCACTAGTCAAGATGGCAAGGCCAACTCATGCTATATAATCATTCTGACCTACACCATGTATGATACATAAAAAATATAAGATCACCATCGGTGTAATGACAATATTGTAACCAAAGATGGTAACCAAGAACAATATTGTAAACACTCAAATTACTGACATTCAAATTTCAATATGACTGAAATAACAAGAGAAATACTAGGCTACATATATAGATGGCCCAAGTAATCCAAATCCAATGAAGAAAAAATGCAACTAAAATAGACCTTATTCAACATAGAAACAAAGCCCCAGAACACCTATTTATAAGCTATCCCAAGAACCAGCAACCAGACAAAACAATCCGAAATGTAATAATTTAGAAGTCATAAATATTGAAAGAGAAGGTGGGATGCTTCTCAATTGTGTCGCAATAGTGATAGTGATAGTGATAATGGTCTATTGCATCATGCCCCATCAACTCCACAAATTTTGTCAATTTTTCTAGGATGAGTTTTTAACTATGCACATATACTCCCTTCTCCTTTTAATATTATCCCATGCGACATTCAACCTTTCTGCTTTTATCTTGCTGACATATTTTCTTATCATGAAACGTGAAAAAATTGCAAGACAAAGGCTTAAATGGTGATAAAGACATGAGCTGTACATTAATTTTTAAAGCATTAACATTCAATGGAACAAGGAATCATAGCAGCAATAGCTGGTGCCACGCGGCTAAATCAATAGTTTTCATTAAAAATTATGTTACATCATTCATTAGCTGGCTGGACAGAACTCCAGGCTACATGCAAAAGAAGACAGTTTCCTTCAAAGGTAGTCCTTGGCAGTCAAGAGACCACTATATGATATCAGTTTTACAGTCAAAGGATATTTCTGATTTTGGTACTTTATTTTTGCACCATATCAATGGCCTACATAAATTTTATCTTGAGTATGACTAATTGACTGGTAAGCGGCACACATAAATTATATATATCTGCTTATATGCCAGTATATAAGGTTAAAATGAAAATCAGAATCGAGACAGTGATAACTTGAATGCTTGAAGGCATGCACCCAAAGTTGCTCCACCTAAATGCTTGTTTACTTCTCATCTATCACTGATACACAAAACTACTGACAGCCCATAATAGTCCACCAGACTCTTTCTTGATTTTCAACAATCTCAAACACTATTCATTCAAAACCCTAGATTAATACCATCTCATCCATTAAAATAGATGCTGCCCAAGAAATAAATCAACTTCTGCTTAGCTATAGACACATGTCTTGAAAGTCAAAACTTAATCAGTAAGGATAACTTACATCTCAGAGAACTCCGGTCCCAGGTTATGCATTAATACTTCTTTTATTGCTTTAAAAGAACAAGGAGCAACCTAGATGTTAAAGAATGAAAACATCAGCACAAGAACCAACAAGATGTCCCTGCCCAAAACCCAAATAAACAAACAAACAAAAGGAAGTTTGAACTCGAATAAGATACTCCCTCTGGTCCTATATAAAGAAGCCTGTTGAGGATTTTGATTTGATCCATAATATAAGAACTCGTCCATTTTGTCCACCAAATTAATTATTTTTTCCCAAAATACCCATATTTAATGCGCCATTTTTTCAAATTTAAATAATTAAAACCTTAAAGTCCACAATTAAATGAGAGAATATTTCAGGAAAACTATCACAAATTGTTGACACATTAATTGCAAAGAAACTAACTTAACTTCTTTTCTTAATCTCTTTAAATAAAGTAAAAAGCTCCTAAATTTAGCACCGGAGAGTACATTTAATGAACCTGATCCTGTAATGCTGACAAAGTTGACGAGTATTCCCTGGGAATCACACCCTGGGCAGAAACAAACTGTCCAGCTTTCACATAAAATCCTTTATTGGCTTCGCATAACTTCAAAATCCTCTTGGCTGAGCGTAGATGAACCTAGATACCAAAAACACATTCTCAGCAGGAATAAACTGTATTCTGGCCAGTCATCAAGGATTAAAAAACTTTAATACTACCGACAAGGTATCAATACCAAATGATTTTGAAAGATATTCGGGGATTTTTTTTTTTTATCCCCTCTTCTTGTGTTACGAACCTTGGAGAGAACCACCCAAGATCGGCCTATCAGGGTTAGAGCCTTCTAGGCTTATTTATAAAGTTAAAAGCCCCCCAACAGTGGAAGAGTGAGCAGACTCACTCAACAGAATGGCAACACATCTTGTCACAATGAATTGCTGAGAAAGAATCTAAACTGGCACCAACCTCGGACATCTCGTGACGATACTCGTTGGAGTCCTTTTGAAGCCCGCGCAAAGAGTACTTGTAGTCAGTAACCGTGCAAGCAACCTGAAATTCAGATAACCGAAAGAACAATTGAGGCCGTAAAGTAGGGGAAACTATCACGTAATCAGAAACTGAAGGCAAATAATCGGACGGTGGTGATGGCGCGAGAGGAGCGTAAGATGCCATGGATCACTGTGCTGATTTTGCCGGGAAAAGAATCGGAGGAGGGAAGAGTGAGAACGTAGTTGGTGGCTGGCAAGGAAATGGCAGCGGCGGCAGCGAGAAACGCGGCGGACTTGGCTTTGGCGGGAAACTTGAAAGTTTTTGCCGTCATTAATTTGGAAGTTTCTTGGGAATAATATTTTGCATGTTCGACGGTAGTCAAAGAAGAACCAGTGCACAGGAAAATGCAAGAAGCTGCGCTCGGTCGAGCTTAGCCAACACCCCATCGGGAGCCATATTTAAATCCTTTTTCTTTCTCTTTTTAATGAAAACATTTATAAAACTCAACAAATCTATTAATTATTTTGGTCAAAAAAAAAACAAATCTATTAATTATTAATATAATTAGCATTTAATTAAATTGGTTTAAATTTAATATTCTTTTTTGACATTTTTTATAAATTAATTATACGACGGACCTACGTTCGGCTTAATGGGGGCAGCAGCGCCCACTGAAACTAAGAGCTCCTCAAAGGAAAAATTCTCACTTGCTCCTCCAAAAAAATTGTCATCTGCGAACAAGTAAAAATAAGTTAGATTGAATTAAATTTTAATTAAATATGCTTGAGTTTATATGATAAATCAAAAATTTGAACCTAACCTGAAATTTATATAAAGTTTTTTTCATCATTCAAACCTAAACCTCTCTACAATCTGACCTAAAAATTTATTTAAAAATCTACTCAAAAGTGAGTTTTTTTATATAAACTAACATTTTAGTTTAAAATGTTTCAAATATATGTTAGAACTATCAGCATAAGTATATAATATGATTTATCAATTACAATATATAATTATTAAAAGGACTTATCAACTACAACACAATACAATAATAAAGTAATAACATTAAAATTAATATATAAGTTCAATTTGATTGAAAACATAACTAAAAAATAAGTTTGATTAAAAATCAAATTGCGAAATTGATGTATGTGTAATATATTATATAATACGTGTATGTATAAATAGACCGACCTGCTAGGATCATGACTAGTATTTGAAAAACTAAGCCTGACTTATTTAACTAAATAAACTTAATTAAAAATATAAATTTAATCTAAATTTATTTAATAAATAAGCTAGGCTAAATTTAAAATAGATCAGAGTATAGGCCCTTTATAGGGCCGGCCTATTCCCAACCATATCTGCCTCCCCTGTCCCAAACAATTGCCCTGGCTCCACTCAAGTTTTTTAAAATCCCAATCTTTACATTTTGACGATTTCTCAATCATCCAACAAAAAAAAAAAACAATGCTATTTGTATTGTTAATTTTCTAGGAGGTAGAAATATTAATGTTTTGAGTAACTAATAAAAATGTTGGTTTCCACTAACCTCTCAATTAAAAAATATAAAGTATTTTTTAAAATAAAATATTAAAAAATATAAGACATTTTTAATACTTCAAGATATAATCATTACATTTTTTTAACTATCCCTAATAAATAAATTATTTTATATTTATTTTAAAGTGAAACATCCTATTAAAGATAAATATAAAAATGATGTTAGTTCAAAAATAAATAAATACTTTGTTAAAGTGAAATTTAATAAAAATGTCTTAAATTTTTAAATAAAGAAAGTATAAAATAAAATATAAGGATATGATAAAATATTTTACTACATCCGATCTCTCTTATAAAGTATTCTTAATTATAAAAAATAATTTTTTAGTGTTTATATTGAAAATATTTATTCTACAACTCATCTTAAAAAAAAAGTGTACGATACTAATAGCTAATGCTTATTCTATAATTTTTTTTATATAAATTTTGTTTGTATTAAGATAATTTAATTTTTTAAGTTAATATTATTTTATAGTTTTTTTATGTATTTAATTTTAATTTTTTTATTTTTAAATAAATTTAACAAATATCTAGAATTATATTTTTAAATATTAATTTTTCATTTGGTATAAATTTGGCCATTATCAATAAATTTTTCTAGGTTCGTCACTTGATATAGATTTACTTTAAAGTCTGAACTGTTTTAAATCTAACAATATAATAAATTTAAAATTGAATCTAAATAATACAAAGCATACCTATATGGTCAATTGATAAAAATTATAAAAAAAACTAATATTAAATTTGAACCAACTTGATTAAATATGAACAGTACACATTATTAATTAACATATTTATTCAAAATTTTATAAATTTTTATTTAAAAAATAAAAAAAATATTTAAATTGATATCACAAAATTAAATATGGATGATCCAAATTATTTCAGAACACCGCATGTGCTCCCCAGCCCAACATCGACATTCCATCTGATTTGGCACCAACCAACTTAATTTTTTTTATTAGTGACCAAATCAAATAAAATGAGAAAAAATTTGCAAAACAAGCAAATTCAAAAATTATGGGAGAATATCAATCAGATACCAATTAATAGACATTGTAGCATAAAAGGCTCAAAATAATCTAAAAACTGATTAAAGGCTCAAGATAATCATCAATTGTAATTAAATTGTAGGTGTTAATAACTATTTACTAAAATATCCTTATTTTTAAAAAGAAAACAAAGCAGCTCTCATTGCCATATTTCATCAAATATTTTTTTTTACAAAGTAAAAATTTAGGTGAGTTAGATTTCAATCACTTATTAGAACCATAACATGCCTTTAAATTTAAAAAATATTCATAAAGATATTTATAGATCATCTATCAACAGATTCTTGACACAAAAAAAAAAAATCCCAAATCACAATTTGAAAACTGTTTCAAACACTTCAAAAACTATCTCGAAGCCAAACCCCCACCCAAATGCATCTTGATAAACAAGATCTGGTTGATAAAATAGAGTTTGTCCAAAAAATGCAAAGACGAGAGAAATAGTAAATATAGTGTAATATATTGTCTTCCCCATCAATGTCACATAAATCTGCGAATTCCAAAGCAAGAGGTCATATAATCTATGTTTCATGATCATATTTGAGAGGAACCAAACAGCAGTCTCATGACCATCTGGCCTAAGCAGAAAGTCTTGCTCTCAGCTCGTTTGCTACGGCATCAATGAATTCCCCCGTGTTCAGATATTTTTCCCTAGAAACCCTGCTTGCACAGCAATATATAATGAGTCAATAATGTCAAGTAAAAATGAGAATATGCATAGCACATTTGTCACATCATAACAAGCAACTCACTTGGATCCATAAATGATTAAGGCCAAATCCTTGGTGATCTTCCCTGATTCTACAGCTCCAACGCAAGCTGCCTCCAGTTTTTCAGTGAAATCCAACAGTCTAACATTGTTGTCCAACTTTGCCCTGTCAACAAAGAGATGCACCACAGTTTCTTTCTCGATTATCAGATGTTGTTTGTCGAGCTTCAAAGAGTGTAAAAATATTCACACTCCGCAGATCGCACTATTAAATACCTGTGGGCTAGCCCTCTTGTCCAAGCGAAGATGGATGCTATGCTGTTTGTGCTGGTTTCCCCACCTTTCTGATGAACCCTAAAATGTCGAGTAACTGTTCCATGGGCGGCTTCGGCTTCTATAGTCTTGCCGTCATGGCACACCTGAACCCACCAATAATTCAGTTAGCATCAGGAAGCAGCTTCAAGATCTCTATCAGATATACAATGTCATGAACTTGAGTGCGAAGTAAAAACAGAATTTCCATAGTGGAACTTCACTGTATATTACAAAAGAGAGTATTAAAGTTGAGATGGTGAGAATAAGAAGACTGCTCCCTCTATTTATCACATAAAATGGTTGAATCGACTCTTGATCCTAAGGTACCACTACAGTAAAGGCAAACAACTTTTCAATGGTTAACAATGGAAGATGAGAATAACATTTGACATGACAGTATGTACAAGAACTTACAAGAACAGACGTCATCAAACCCAGAGAACCAAAACCTTGAGAACAAAACAGAAATGTATTAAGTATTAGTAATAAAGGAAGAGAAGAATTAAGCATCTAAACTAGTGAAAAAGTCGAATAAAATATTTAGCAAAGAAACCTTTAGCTAAGAAATCGCTCTCAACATCACCATCATAGTTTTTGCAAGCCCACACGTATCCTCCTTCACTCTTGAGAGCGTAAGCTACCATATCATCAATGAGCCGGTGCTCATACCTTCCAATCCATTAGTTTAGACTCAGCAGTATAGAATGCACCAAAAGAATTCATAGTCAAGTGCGATTTCACTCACCATATACCAGCAGCCTCAAACTTTGACTTCCAGTTGGCCTCATAAACTTCACGAAATATGTCCTTGAATCTTTAAAATAAATTAATATAATTGAAAATGCCAAAGCAACAAGAAACCAATAAAATGCCTCGAACAGGAGAATGCAGGACCATCTTGTTGCCAGAATAGTGAAAATAAATAACAAGCTAATAATTATCCACATACCTTCCATCATAATTTTTCAGAATTGTATTTTTTGTGCTAAGATAGATAGGCCACTTTTTCTGATAAGCAGTTGACATGGAAGCCTCTGCAAAAGCACGGATAGACTGAATGCCATGCAAATATAAAAGATTCAACATCATTCAGTAGCAGAAATCTACTAACTCTCTCGCATCAAACCACTAAAGAAAACCACAGAATCAACCTCATCAGTGTTATACATGGCTAATGAAACGCCTCCTTCACCAGTGAAGTTAAAAACTTCAAATTCAGCCTGTTGATCTTGCCCTTCTGGTACTGCAAGAATAATATCATAACATGTGTGAATTGATAAATGATAAAACAGAAAAGTGTGAAGTAATGGTAATAGATATCCAAAAACACCAGAGATTGGGATGTTTATTTGGATTGGCAATATAGAGAAAATATTTGTAGAGCTGATAGGTTAGCTAATGCAGCTCATAACTTGTCAATTCCTTTTTGTCCCTTTGATTAAATCCCACCTTGGATACAAGAGGTGGGAACTTGATGAAAGGAGTATGTTGCTATCTGCTTTATATTTAGTATGGCAAATTTTTCATTGAAAAAAACTATCTCATAGTAAGTAGAAATTATACCAAAAACCAGCTTCAGTTTTCCAGCCCCTTTAATTACTGTCTCTGACCTGATTTAGGTCACCAAAAGCATGCCTTCCAATACATATTGGCTTTGTCCAACCTGCCAAAGTTTAAACAACTAGACTTCATTAAAGAAATAATTAAATTCAACACAAATACAATATACCTGGAACAAGGCGTGGGACATTTTTGCAAAGTATTGGCTCTCTGAACAAAGTTCCTAAAAGATTTTCCAAAGATATAATTAATAAGAAACCAGCATACATCATAACCCATCTATAATTTATCAAATCAGTGCCCGGACAAGAACAAGTTAATCAATAATTGAACACTTGACTGGAAATAGTTCAAGAAGCAAAGCTCAGTTATGGAGTTACCTTTTAAGATGTTCCTAATTGTCAAATTAGGACTCTTCCACGTTTGCTTCAGACCAAACTCCTTCAGACGAGCTTCATCTGTAAGTCATAATAGCATAAGATATATTCTTCCAACATCTGCTATCGAACAAAATTCTTAAACACGTGCCAATCAAAATGAGTTATCCCAATCTCAGCAGGATCATTTCTTTTACCTATTTATCAGTGTATATGCATGTACAAGGAGTCATACGAATGTAACCTTTTATAAAGATCCAACCACAATACCTGGACAGATAGTTGCACACTTAATTGCAACATTATACCTATAAAACAGTGCAACGTTAAAGAAACAAGTATAAGAACAACGAAGAAAATAATAAATTAGCTTCACCAAATTCCAAATTAGAGTCTGCCAAAAAATTGAAAATTTAAAACTATATATAGGTACAGAGGGGGAGGCAAGAAAAGAAGAAGAAATAAAGATAGTGGTTTCAAGTTTTCAACTCCAATTTGTTGAATAACATAATTTACATAAACCAAAGATCTGGCAAGCAAAAATTGTTCCAAGTGAGCAAAAATCGAAGAAACGTGAACATACTTGAGAGTTGCTTCTGCACTCTCAACTGTCACTTTATCATCAGTAGCATCACGATGAGAAAGGCCTAGGTCAAAATACTTGATGTCTAGCTCCAGAAAGGGTAGAATGAGCTGTAAAAAAGGATTAAATTTGTATTTTAAGCACTTCAAATGAAATAAAATGTTCCCTAATGATGCGAGAAGAATAAAGGTGTTAAAAAAAAAAGGGGAGAATCATATCAATAACCACTAAAGTAAATTATTCATAGACAAGAACTAATAACAAGTCTTATTTAAAAAAAAAAACAAGTCACTTCCCATTTTAACAACATTGCACTCCGTATTAGTTCTTATCTGTGAATAATTTGCTTGAGTGATATTTGAATATGATTCTTCCCATAAAAAAAAAATAAATTAAACCTTATCCTTGATTGATTTCCAAATAACTCGCGCCATTTCATCACCTGAAAAGCAGTTAGAAAACATGTTACCAAGGATTGTGAAGTTTGTTCACACAAGTATGCATAGTCACCAAAGTTATTAAACTCGCGAGTTTAAATAAACTCATAACAAGAATGTAAACTTGTATTGCAAATTCGAATTGTAAACTCATAAGAGTTTACTTCTATTAACAAATAATTATTAAAATATGATTGTAATTTAATTTAAATATATTAAAAATATAAATTATTGAAATTAAACTCATATACATTGATAAATTATCATATACAAGACATAAAAATTTTAAAATAAGGGAGCTTATTTTTGGTATTTTTGTTTTCTTTTTTTATTAATATTAGTTTTTGCATTTCAAGTTTTGTCCTTTGAATCAAGTCTTATAATTTTTATAAACTGAATTCTTCATAATATATACTTAACTCATTCAACTAAAAAAAAAAATGATGAGCTTAACAAGTTTAACCAAACTTGGATCTACTTCGAGTTTATGAATTAGTTGAGACAATTTTGTAAGTTAGAAATGTAAAAACAGCAAATTTGGAGGTAAACTCATAAGTTTAACTAAGTTTGTATTTAATCTAAATTTATGAGTGAATTGACACGATTTTGTAAGCTAGAAACGTAAAAACATTAAATTCATAGAGTTGACTCGAGAGTTTGACAACTATAATAGTCACTATGTTTGAGGCAATGAATATGAATTTAAACCAAGAATTTCATAAGAATCCTGTAATTTGGGCACATCATATACCCTTCCAACGCCAATTCTTACTGGATAATTATACATGAAATTAATATTTTGCACTAGGAAAACCATCTATAAGCATACTTTTTCAATCTGATGAGGACAAGAAGGACCCTGGCATCTCATTAAGTTAGGCTCCTAAGTTGCAAGTTCTATGAATGATACATTGCCAAAACTCATCTTAGAGACTCCCTTAGAATGTTGCTTTTCTCGAGAACAACCTATTTTTCCCTCAGAACGGGAGAAAATTGAAGATGAAAGTGCAAACGAGGAAGTATGATGGGCATAGGAACATGAATGTATGGTTAAATAATACTAGTGGCTCTTTCTAAAATCTTTTGCCATTCTCTATTTTTCCCTTCTGAGTTTAGTTAGCAGAGGAGTAGAGTGAAAAGCTCCTAAACCATCAATTTCATTAAAAGTAGTTTCTTACTACTGTTATTATGTCATTAAGCCAATTAAATTTATACTCCCCCTACTTCTATTTATACAGGACACTCTCTGAAAATAATTTTTAATTCAAAATATAAGGCATATTATAATAATTAAACTACTTTTTTTTCAATTTTATCCTTTATTAATTAGTATAAAAATATTTAATGTAATTGTATCATAGGTAAAAGTGCATTTTTTCCCTTACCGTCAAATTTCCAAAGTTAATTGTTAAAAATATTAATTAGGATTTCAATGTTAATCGTTAAAAAATTTAATAGAATTGGCAAAAATATTTCATTTTAATTACTTTAAAGTAAAAATTACTTCATTCAATAATTTAAAGTATTGTGTACTCCTCGAAAAATACTTTAAGAGCAAAAATGTACATTTACTCTTTTATCATTATTTAAAGCCAATGGCAAAAAATAAAAGTAGATTTTATTTTTTTATAATATCATGAAAAAAATTAATTTTTTTTAACATGTATGAAATTATTAAAAGTGTTTTAGAAGTAACAAAACATAATTATTTCTTCTAAACTCACTCTTAATTAATGTTTGACATTCATCATATTGAATTTTAAACTTCTCTCTTACTTTATTTGAATTTTAAATCAATGACGGAGCTGTAAGTAGTAATAGACTGGCAGCAAGTTAATATGCTCCGCGAAACAAGGATATATAAAACGTAGAAATAAAATAAAAATATTAAGAATCACTATCCCATGGCCTCCAGGCTCCAGGCCCATCAACATACAATATACTAAAAAGCGAGGCTGGTCCGCAAAATGTCAATCACGCAGAAAAATGTCGAAGAGAAATTCAGATGAATTAACGGACATTTAAAAAATTCTACAGAATCGGAGCGGAAGCAGACGGATTAGTGAGAGAATAATAGAGTAGTAGTGTCGTGTTCAATGTTACCGTCCATTTCGACGATGGGATTAGCGACCTTGATCTTGTCGAATCTCATTTTCAAAGCTTCTGAGTTGAATCGCTGTGAAGGCAGATGTAGAAGTTTAGGTGCCGAAAAGTAGGACGAAACTGAGAAACTTTGTATTGATGAACATCCATTATTCACCCATCCATTATCTCCATCTTTATCTTCATAAAAGTTCAATGTGATGAACAGTATCCGGGGCGGGCCATGGTTACGGCGAGTGCACGGCTGCGAGTGTTTTGGCCATTCGTACCGTTCAATAATGCCTCGTCATTATTTCTCTTCCAAGGCTATTCAAAGAATTTGAAATGCGCAGCTGCATCTTTCACTTTATCTAATAAAATAATTTGAACGGTGGGATAGAAAAAGTGGAGAGAAATGGAGAGAAAAAAAAATGAAGAGAGCCTCTTCCTTTTATCACTTGTTCCTCTCTCTCTCTCTCTCCCTGTGAACTTGAGAATGAGAACAAAGCCTCCGTCTCCTCCCTGCAACCTGTTTCATCTTTGTCTTTGTCTTCTCTTCCCATCTTTGTCTTTGTCTTTGTCTTCTCTTCCCATCCTTTTCCCCTCCACCGCGCCCAGAAGTTAAAAAGTGGGCCCACCATCGACTAAGGGTGTACATGGGCATGGTTGGTGTTGCACCCAAACTATGATGTTCTGGAAATTATCACTACAATTTTAAAAGAATAATTTTAAATTTTTTTAAAATAAAATAATTTATCATAATTAAAATAAAGTTTGGAAGTCGATTATGTGTGAAGAAGGTGTTCACATCACCTGTTCGTAAAAACGACTACCCTAAATTGACTACATAAAATTAATATGACCTTAAATAAAATTTAATTATCCTTAATTAATAAAAAAAGAAAAAAAAGAAGAAAATTATAATTAAAAAAATTATTCATTCACAAGTTACACTTAACCTAAGATAAAACTCTAGGACCTACATACCTTTTAAAAGGATCAAAGCCTACATAATTCGAGGATAAAAATGCGTGTCAGTTTGTTAGTATTTTTTAGAAAAGAAATTTTTTATTTTTTCAAAGAAGGTTTTTAAATTGGGTTGGTATCTTTTAATTAGAAAAAAAAATCTTATTCCCTTATTTGAGATAGGATTTTTTTAAAAAAATCAATAGATTGAAATTCCTGTGGAGATTTTAAAATCTCACACGGCATAAAAATTATTTTTAGACCTATTTATATTTATAGAAAAAAAGGCTCCTTTAAAAAAATGTTAAAACAAATCAATTAAGCATTATGACTAGTATGTCTGCGATGGCCCATTGCCGTACAAGGCACACCAATAAACTAATTACATGTGGAGACTCTAAAAATCTCACACGATATAATTAAAATTAATTCACATAAAAGTCTCAAGTCATATGGTGCAGTGTGTGCTAGAAAAAGGGTATAATAATATAAATAGCTTATTTAAAAAAACAAGAGATCAAACCTTTGGGGCTTTATCACTTGTTACAACTTAGATGATTATTCCGATTATCGGCATTTTATAACAAATGAAATAACCAACCAACACATATGCTTGAATGTATGTATGCTTGGTAGAACAAAATCACACACACACATGGTTTTTTTTTTTTTACCTACATGAATGAAAAGCCAAACTTGGGATAGAAAAAAGGAAAAAAACTGATATTGGTGGTTGAAATGATTAAGAAGCAAAAGAAAAAGAAAACAAAGAAAAGGAAACAAGAGAGGAAAATAAATAAATAAATAATAAATAAATAAAATTTAAGAAAGCAATATTGAATTAAAATCAAAAGGAGAGAGAAATGGAAAGCATACACAAATATATACATATAGAAGGGAGACACGCACGTCCAGCACTACAAAATGAAAGGAAAAAAAAAACATGTACCTTAGGAAATTAGATTCAAACATGATGAAGAAAGAAAGAAAACAAAGAAAAGGAAACAAGAGAGGAAAATAAATAAATAAGTAAAGAAATTAAAAATTAAGAAGGCAATATTGAATTAAAATCAAAAGGAGAGAGAAATGAAAAGCACACACAAATATATACATATAGAAGGGAGACATGCACGTCCAGCACCATAAAATGAAAGGAAAAAAAAAAAACATTCTTTGAGAAATCAAATTCAAAACATGGGGGGGAAAGAAAGAAAAAAAAATGAATGATTCAATAAGAAGAGAAAAATATGACTCAAGGCACTAAATATATATAAACACACGCACACAGAAAATTTTGAAGGAAAAAAATGAAAATAAAAAAGAGCATCTAAATCGTTACTCATCCTATATCATTTAGCCTTTAACTTTTTTAAAGATCACACATGTGATCCCCAAATGAGAAGGTTGGGTTTTTTAAGGATATTATAGGACACTGAGCTATTGATATTACCCTATTTAGGGTACCTCTAGTCATTCCTAACATCATATTATGATGAGTGGAGATGATATAAGAGAATAAATGGTCATTCTCTATATTTTTGATAAACTCTCTTAAGCTCCTTTTTTTGGTGCCTCCTCCTTTTTTTCTCTCCCTTTTTCATTTCGATCTCTACCTTTTTATAGATGAGAATTAGGGCTTCCATCTTTAATGGTTGAATCTTATCAAATTACAATTTTATAAATTTTATTTGACTTTTACTATTTTAAATTAAGACACAATTTTAGGGATTGGATCTTCATCTCATTTCCCTAATTGAAAACTCATATTAAGGTACAAATTTGGAGATTTTTAATTAATTCTTATTTATTAATTTCGTTTTTTATTATTTTACTAAAAACTAGGCTTTTCAATTTTTTTATTTTATTCATTTATTTTTTGTGGGGGTTTGGACAAAATGGGGTGTTCACAGTTGGATAGGGCAGGACCCTGCCTAATGCCCAGCCTGAAGGATGCGTGGGCTACATTTTAATCCTGCCTGAAAAATGCCCTATTAGTTTGGACAGGGTATGCTAGGCACCTTTGGGCCGCCCTGCCTATCAACTCAAAATAAAACTACCGAAAATAATCAACAATAACCTTACAAATCAACTCAAAATAACATCCATAAAGGTATAAACCATAAAGCCATAATAACATCTACAATATCTAATTATCCATAAGTCAACATCTAATTTGAAATATAAAACTACCATAACATGAAGTTATCCATAACAGTTACAATCCATTAGAAATAAATTTCACAAAATCTTGGAACATCATAAAAAACAACAATTTCACATAGCATACTCCAATTCACAAAAAGCTTCTTCCCAATTTTCAACCTGCAAGAATGAAAGAGGAAAAATATGTCATAGTTGAATAGAAAAATTGTAAGAACATACATGAAAATTTGAAGAAAAAATGGAAACCAAAATATGATAGAATTAACAATAATAATATATAAGATTGCAAAAAAATCAGGAAGAAATTAAATAAAATGAAATATATAAGTTTGCCAAAAAAAATTGGCAAAAAATTAACAAAGCAAAAAATATACTTGTAAAGAAAATCCTTCAATTAGTACTAATAGCTACATTCTCCCTTCCAAGTGTTGCATCTGAAGACAACAAAACAATTATATTTGTATAAGAAACAAAGTAAGGGGTGTGTGTGTGCATGTATGAATTATTAAACTTTAAAAAAAATATTACTTGCAAGCTAAATGATATGTTTTGTTTCATTAAAGTTATGAAGCTCTTGAAGCTTCTCAACAAACTCATAGAGAGATTGCCCACTTTGCAACCAATTTTGATCACAAATCGATGCTTCTATCATTTTAGGAAAAAGAGAACTCCTATAATAATCAATTACACGTCCACCAGTACTAAATGCAGACTCAGAAGCCACTGTAGAGACTGGCATAGCCAATACATCTCGTGCCATATGGGAGAGAATTTTATATTTTTCAAAATTTTCTTTTCACCATGATAGTATGACAAATTCAAAATTAGATGATAAGATTTCAACTCTAGAATCAGTTGCAAGATATCTATCTAGCTCGCTTTGTGGATCCATTGAAATTCTTTGTTTCAAAGACTCTAACCACATCACACCTGGATCCTCAATGTCATCATTATCATTATCAAGAGATGGCAATGAACTAGTAGATGCAGAACTTGCATGGGTAGGCCCTAATTCAGTAGAAATCCCAATAGAATACTCTTCAAACAATCAATATAAACAAGTTTTGACCCTTTCCATCATAATTACACATTCTTCAATATTACTAAAAAGGAGTTCAAACATGTGATTGACATAAACTAATTTATATTGAGGATCCAAAATTACAGCCACAGTCAACAATAGATTCATATTATCGTCCTGACCCCTGTACTCTCAAACTTCAACTGCATCTTAAAGCTCATCTCTCCCAAAAAAGTATTATTATTGTTTGCAATATACTTTTGCAACATTTGCTAAACATGAGCAATTTGGTGGAAACAATCATTTGATGTTATAACAAGGGAGCTTGAAAATTTTAAAGTTATGTCATAAAAGACTTTCAAGAATTTGATAAAGACTCTAGCATTTTTCCAATCATCAAGAATTGGACTAAAGAAAACACTTCCTTCTTGCCTATAGTTGAAGAATGCAATATAATCATCATCTTTATCACGCATCCGCTCAAACACCTTTTGAAACTTCATTAGAGCTTCAAACATCAAATATGTTAAATTCTATCGAGCACTAACATCAAGGCAGACAAGGCTTTTGGTTTCTATTTTTTCAGACTCAACCTAATTTTTAAACTTTAGAAATCGTGAAGGAGAAGAGTGAACATATCTCACAGCATTTCGAATGGCTTCAAAACTATCTTTCATGCATTTGATACCTTCATTAACCACCAAATTAAGAACATGTGCATAACATCTTAATTGTAAATATTCCCTTATACAAATTAAGCCCTTCTAACTTTTCAACCTCCTTTTAAGATATTCCAAAGATGTGTCATTAGATGAAGCATTATCCATAGTTATGCTAAACACCTTACCAATACCCCAATCTAACAAGCATTGCTCAATAGTCTTTCCTATAGTCTCACCTTTATGATTTTCAATCATAACAAAACTTAGGATCCTCTTGTGAAGCTTCCATTCATTGTCAATAAAATGTGTCGTCAAACACAAGTAATTGAAATTTTAGTTTGACATCCAACAATCTGGCATGAGACAAACACTTTTAGAACATTACTTTAAGAACTTCTTTAACACTTTTACTTCACCAAGATATAGCTGCCACATATCACTCGCAATTGTTGTTCTTGAAAGAATTGGAAAGTGAGGTTTAAACTCATTTAACAATTTCTTAAATGCAAGCTTCTCAACAAGTTTGAGCGGCTGCTCATCACAAATAATAAATTCAACAAGAGCTCTTCTACACCTTTTCTCATCATATAAGTGAGTGATCAAAGATTTTCCTTGCC